GATTCCCGGAACCGGAAAAAAAAAAACCAAAACCAAAAAAAAAAAAAAAAAAGCCAAAAGCCAAGAATTAGTAGGTTCATGAGTTCTTACCTGTGCCTGGAGCAGTGTTCAGCAGGAATGGAGGAAAGAAAGACAGACAAAAATGAATAAAAACGTCAATATATTATAAGAACACAAGGGAGTTTCAAGTATGGTTGTGTGTAAAGGCTTATTTCTTTTTTTTTTTTTTTTGTCTTTTTTTAAACAGTCTCGCTATGCAGTTCAGGCTGCCTGTGAGCTCACTTTGTAGTCCAGGTTGGTCTCGAACTCGCAACGATCCTCCTGCCCCAGCCTACCAAGTGCTTGGATTACAGGCGTGTGCCATCATGCCGGGCACACCTATTTCTTATAAAGGATTAGAACTTTTTTTTTATGCTTTAGAAGAAGAAAATCATGTGGGTATTTAAACAGCTCTGCCAAGGAAGGGTTTAGATGAATAGAAAGAAGAAATCTCAGAAAACTGAGCAGAGAACTAAATGTTTATCATGAAAATATTTTATCATGAAAACATACAGGATTGCAAATAACTTAAGATCTAGCCTTTAAGTGGATTATTATCTATATACTGATCTATCCATAGATTAATCTAGCCATTGATTTATCTTAATCACTTGATGCATCTGTTTTGGAGAAAATATAGATTTGCTTCCTTATTGGAAAATGGAACCTTGTCATTTTCCAGTCAGTGAATTGCCTTTTATTTAAAGAATACATAATTGTGGTAAAAGTCTATATGATTTGCAAGTTTTTATACTACTGCAAAACTTTGCCTATTCTTTACTTTTCTTAAATATTTTGCTAACATATAAATCCCTAAAATTTCTATTTTTATGTAGAACATTTTTGCTCTAAGTTAAATGTTTTTTTTTCTCTTCGTTAAGAATAATATGTATTATCCCGTCCCCCAGGTACAGATCACTTCTCAGCAATGGGAAACTATTATCCATGTCGTGACAGTTTATAGCAAATAACTCACATCAACAACATATTCCTATCACTTTAAAAGGAGGAGCCATTTTATTTTCCCATGTTAGTTTGAGAATAGTTCTATGGTTTTATTTTCTAGATCAAATTGAAACTATTTGTTTATGGTTACAATTTCCTGAGAGATCCCCTCCCTCAACCCTTGAAAAATTCTATACCGTAAGTGATAAACTTGTACATTCAACTATTGAAAAAGAAAAAGCCACGGAGATAGATATGTACTCTGGGGCACCATAATAAGCTTAGCTAAGCTCCTACCCTTTGCTTTGCAGTGTTTACATAAAATAAATCATCTCTTATCAAGTTATAATGGTAATTTATTGACATGTAGATATGAACGCTATACTTAACCCAGTGCAATTTGCTTCTATCTTTTTAATCTGTAATTAAACATCACCGTAAGGACGATAGCCACTTTCCCTCGGCTATTAAAAATCACTTATTTCTTGTATTAGCCTTGTATTTTTTTAGTTACTAATCTCAGGTGTACTTCCAGCAAGCTGAGAAACGGTACATAAACATCCCTATCAAACTCTGCGCCAGTGGGTGGTGACGGCAAGTTAGTTTTAGAGTACAAATTTCCGTAGCAAAGACAACTTTGCGAAAGGTCCTGGAACTTAGGAATTCATTGCTGAAGAAAGTCCTGAGGCAAACATAGCTTATTTACATTGTGGATGTGAGTATCTTGCACAAATACACATCTATACTTAAATGAAGTGGGTATGGGTGTGAGAAGAATTTTTGTTTATTAGGACTGGATGATAATTTACTGAAAATTTAAAGTTGCTATTGACTGTTGGAAGTTTCAAAACTTGCAGAGAAGCATTCCTTTGCCTACAAACACTCCACTCCAGTTATTCTATGCCGTATTTGTATAATTAGAGTCATGGAACTGAATGTTCTTCTTTGGGATAACCAGAGTTTCACAAAAGTGAAATGCTCCGTGACAACGACACCTGCTCACCAGTAGAGGGCAGCAGGAGCACACATCATTCACTCCCGGTTGCGTTTATAGGTTCAACTGAGCAACTTCCGACAAGTCAGGAGTCTTTGAAAATAATTTCTATAGAATTCAATTCTCTACGGTCATCCTCTATTTGTTCAGAATTTATTTCTGCTTTCTCTATGACATGCTTCTGTTAGGACTGAATTTGGGTTAATATTAGAAGGAAATACGTGTACTGGTAAGCACTGCTTGGAGATTCAAATTACACAGTAAAAACCATTCCTGTGGATTCATTTGATCGTTCATTTGATTGCAACTTAAATTCATATATCTGCACATACTATATGAAATTCGTTTTTTGTTAATTCCGAGGTAGGTAAAACATGGTAATTGACTGATAAAGACATTACAGTTGAATTGGTCAATTCTCCCCATTAGTCCTTTTACTTCTTAGCCGCAGTGGATTGCAAATAACGGCTATTGACAATAAATGAATTATACCCAAACTCTACTAAAGGTCAGAGCAAAATTTAAAAGGACCAACGACTAAACTGATGGCACACTCGTCAGTTTTCTCTCCATTGAATGATATTCATATTTATAGAATTGAATTATATTCGTTGGACTGTATTCATATTTATACACCGGGAGGGTACCGAATTTCCAGATTTCAGAGATAATACATCCGATTTGAGATTTTAATAACATGCGTGTGATTTACTCAGCTGTTCTGAAGGTACAACAAATCACACTGCTCATTCACGATTGTTTACTTATTGTTGTCCATTCTGGAGAAATAATAATCCCATGTGAATCTCAATCTTCACACTCTCAAGGTTAAGAAAATACCTGGTTGACGTGGTCCAGCTTAGGGCAGGGCCTGCCCCCATTATAGGGTTTTTCACGCAGCCACTTGGATCGAACCTTCACCCCACTGCCGCAGGACTTGCTGCAGCGGGACCAGTTGGACCACTCGCTGAGCTTGCAGTCCGAGGGGCAGGGGATGATGCAGGCCTCTTCAATGTAACCTGAGGGAGGAGAGGAGAGTGCGGTCAGAGCCACGGCCTTACCTGTCACCCTCCTACTGCCCCCCCATCCCAGCTCATTTAGAAGGTCCACGTTTGACCTGACGGCAGCACGCAAATGCAGTTGTCTACTTGATAGGGACTCAATTACATTCTGCAGGAAAATGACACACACATAGAGCGACTCTGTCCAAATAACAGCTGAGCGGCTGCTTAGGATTCATGCCCACCATATTTCAGCATTTCTGACTTCCTGACAGCTCTTGTTTAATTGACAGTAACCTGTCTGCTGGCATATCATTCTCACGCTGCCAGAATGGTGCACACACACACACAAAATCCTAACATAGTTTTTATAAAACCCTGTTAATGTCACACAAGGACAGGTTTTGGAGTCCCTGGAACATTCTTCCTCAGGGAGAAAAGCCAGTCTCTCTCCATCAACATCCAAGAAAACCATTTAGCTTCGCTCCTTATGTTTCCCCTTCTCTGAAAATCAAATCTGAAGAAGAAAAATTAAGGACGTGAAGTAAATAATGCTTTATACTTTCAGAGAGCTGTCAGTTTTCAAGCACCTTGACTTCTTATATCTATTTGACTTTCTTAAAAGTCCTATAAGTGTATTAGGCAGGTGTGGAGATTAAGAAAACGGAAGCAGGGAGAAAACTGATAAGAGCAACTTCACACAGTGGGAGATAAGGAAAAGTCTGAGTCTGGTTTGGTCCTCACTTCCTCCAATCACACACAAGTTAAATTAATCGTCTACTGATTTGTTGGGGGAAGAGGAAACATTTTGCTTGAACAGTCCTTCCCTACTAACTTGATATGTCACAGTATCAAATTATTCCTATGGTTTTCAAAGCAAATATATGAGAGAAAATTCCTTTGGACAACTGACTGCGGAGATAGGTAATTTCCTGCATGAGAAAACAGTGCGACAGCATTATACATCAAGAGTAGAGATCTGATTTTAAAATAATAATATAAAAAATGTATACTAGGGAATTCCAGGTAGATTGATATTATAAAGAATCAACAAATGGGGTCTCATCTTATTAAAAAGCTTTTGCACGACAAAGGAAATCACTAACAAAGTGAAAAGACAACCCACAGAGTGGGAAAAAATTATAGTCAGCTGTCCCTCAGACAAAGGATTTATATCTAGAACATATGAAGAACTGAAAAAATCAGACCCCCCCCAATTCAAAGACCCAATCTAAAAATGGGCATCTGAGATAAACACACAATTCTCACATGAAGAAATACAAATGGAAAATATATATATGAAACAATGTTCACATCATTGGTCATTTGAGAGATGGAAATTAAAGCACTGAGATTCCATCTCACCCCAGAAAGAATGGCTGTCATCAAGAAATCAACCAGCAACAAATGCTGGTGGGGCTGTGGGGAAAAAGGAAGCCTTCTCCACTGCTGGTGGGAATGCAGACTGGTGCAGCCACTGTGGAGATCAGTGTGGAGATTCCTTAAAAAATTAGGATCAGAGGTCCCATTCCACCCAGCTATTCTGCTTCTGGGTATCTTCCCAAAAGAATTAAAAACATACCACAGTGATATATATGCAACCATGTTTAGAGCAGCATAATTGGTAATAGCTAAACCTTGGAAACAACCCAAATGCCTACCAACTGAGGAATGGATAAAAAGATGTGGTTTCTTTATATAATGGAGTACTACTCTGCCATAAAGAAGGATAAACTGGAGACTTTTATAGGTAAATGGGTGCAACTCGGGACCATACTCATAGTGAAATAATCCAGATCCATATGTGTAAATATCATATTGTCTCACTAGTGTGAGAAACTGAAAGAGTTAATAAAATCCAAAATGTACAACAGATATTGTGATTTGGGAAGAAACTGTTCAAAAAAAAAGGCAAACTATGATAGGGAAGAGGAGAGGAAGAAATGGAAAAAGAAAAAGATATATTTATACACAAGATAGTTAAGATAGTTATACTAGTTTCTCTTAGTTCATTGAAAAGAAAGGTTTGTGCTAATATTGTTTGGACAAGATATCATGCCTGTATCTTGTACTCTGAATACTTCCTACAGAGACAACAATACCCAATGTATTACTTATTGCAACTCTCTTACTGACTTGTTTTGAAATTATTGTTATATTTTTTCTCTTTAAAATAAAATTTAACCCACTGTGCAGTTTCCCATTTTCCCCTACCTTGGATCTGCCTCACCTCACGGTTTTGCTCCATAAAAGTCCCTAGAAAAGATAAAGTCCTGGGCAACCCATTCGGGCCCCACTTCTGTCCCTCTCTTGCACAGGAGCTTTCTTTCCCTCAATAAATATATTCTGCTCTTAACCTCTGTTGTTCCTAAAATTCATTGTTCCATTTTTAGAGAGCACAAACTCGTCCCAGATATCATTCAGGTTGGGAGGTTTATTTTCCTGTACCAACACTGATTGCTGGGGAAGGTGACAACCTCAGTACAGAAATGGACATGCTGAGTTGAATTTTAACCTAATGTGAAATCTTGGCAGAGAACACGTTAATAAATAAATGTCTGAAGCATATTTAAAATATGCTTCCAAGAAAGCTTTTGTAAATGGGGAGGGGAGGAGGGGTAAAGGGAGAGTAGGCAACTGGGAAAAAATGTTATATACAGGTGCAAATACTCTATGATGATTGTGATCATCATGTATATCTGAAATGTACCAATAAAGTCTTATTGAAAATAAAATAAAATGTAACAACCAATAAAGTTCTGTATAGCAAAATAAGTAAAGTAAAATAAAATTTAAAACAATTATAGAAATCAGCTTGTGGTGAGGTTTCAGTAGATCTGCTGAGTTGTGAAGTCTTCACTACCCTGTAATTTTATCACCTGCTCCAAGACCCCTATAGTTACTGGTAGTCAATTTCACAACCCCCTCCCAACCACGATTTACTTTCTTTATGAAACTGTCTGCTCTGAATGTTCTCTACCAATGAGACACACCTGACACGGTCTTCTGTGATTGGCTTTTAAAAACCTAGTTTCATGTTTTCAAAGTTCATCTATGTTGCAGCAGCTAGCAGTACTTCAGCCCCTCTATGACTGAATAATATCCCATTGCATGGATACGCCACATTTCGTTTATTAGTGGATATTTTATCTGTTTCTGTATTTTCCTAGTACAAAGAATGCTGCCACCACCACTGTGTACAGTTTTACACGGATACAGCCCCCATTTGTTTGGATACATACCTAGGAGTGGTGTTGCTCAGTCACACATTCTGTTCAGCGTTTTACTTTTCAAAATAGTGTCAAACTGCCTCCCAAAGTTCCTGCCCCATGTTATATTCTACTAGCAATCTAGGCGTTTTCCAGTTCCTAAATATCAGACTTGTCAGACTTGTCATTGTCTAACTTTTTAATCGTAGTGTTCTGTGAGGAACAAAAGGTTTAAATGCTAATGAATTAAGCCCATTCTTTTAATCCTTTGGTTGCTTGTGCTTTGGTGTCACATCTAGGAAACCGTTACCTTAACCCATGATCACAAAGGTTTACACCTGTGTTTTCTTCTGAGCGTTTCATAATTGTAACTTTAATTTGAATGTGTTTCATTCTGCTTTAATTTTTTTTGTCAGTGATAAAAAGCAAGGGTCCAACTGTGTTTGTTTGCATGCATCTTTAGGTGGTGTACAACTATGACACGATGGGAACTCAGTCTATTGGGTTAGTGAGCTATCCAGGTCTCATTCTCTCAAAATATTGTTCTTCTCCTGTTTAACCATTTTGGCACCCTTGCTGGAATTGAACACAGGTGTAAGAGCTTGTTTTTAAATTCTAAATTTCCTTCCATTTATTACCGTGTTCTGTGTCATGCCAGTACTGCATTATCTCAGCTACTCTAATTTTGTAGTTAGTTTTGAAAGTATGAAGTGTGAGTCTTTCTAGTTTGTTTTCTTTTTCAAGATAGTTTTGGCTATTCTTTCCATGCATTTTAGAATTAGTTGGTCTATTTCTGCAAGAGATTTGATAGAAATTGCTGCAAATCTGTTCAACTTGAGAGTATTGCCATCTTAATCCAAGTATGTGTTATTTCTTTCCATTTATTTGATCCTCTTTAACTTCTTCCAGTGGTCTTTTAGAGCTCCTTAGTATAGGAGTCTTGAATTTACTCCAAAGTATTTTATTTTTCTTTTACTCTAAGTAGACTTAAAATATAATCAACAAATATTAATTTCTTTAAACACAGGGAAGTCAGACAATCTTTACACTAAAATGGCTAGTTTAATCTAGAAGCTTGTGTTCAAACTGTCCTGAATGAAACAGTGCTAAAATGCTAGCAGATTTATTACTTATCTTGATCATAAATTATTTGAGGCTGGTCAAAAGTACAGGTTTCTCTCACCCTTCACATATTCTGATAAATTCCATCTGGGATAGGATCTGATTTTCAGAAGTTATTATCTTTTCTTGTGTTTACTCAGCTTTTCCTTTTATTGAAGAATTTTTATTAAATTAATGATCGATTCATATACAATTGCAAAAAAAAAAAAAAAGGAGTTCTTTGAACCTTTTCCCCAGTCCCTCAGTGGAAACTAGAGCAAGATTTCAACAAAGATATTAACACTGATACAGTCCAGTGAGCATACTCAAGTTTCAGCAGTTTTACTTGTCCGTGTGTGTGTGTGTGTGTGTGTGTGTGTGTGTGTGAGAGAGAGAGAGAGACAGAGAGACAGAGAGACAGAGAGACAGAGAATGTATAGAACTGAAGTTATGGTGCATTGTTTTAAGACACAGGCAGAACAAATGAAATATGGAAGAGAAACAGACCTGTGACATATTTTTCAATGTATTACCTGCTATACTTTTTCAAAGGTATGCACTATCTGTTTGAAACTTTTCTGATAGTCCTTGTGCATAAGAGTGCATCTTTCACCAGGATAAATTTCAGTGAAAAAATCTCAAGAAACTAACACTTCATAACCTCCTTTGTGTGGCCTTCTAATCAACGTCTTTTTTACTAGGGCAACC